GGTGTGAAGGTCAATAGTGTGGAGGTTGTTGTCAACAACAGAGTGAAGGTCATCGGTGTGAAGGTCATTGGTGTGAAGGTCATTGGTGTGAAGGTCATCGGTGTGAAGGTCATCGGTGTGAAGGTCATTGTCATTATTAGTGATGTGTTGCTGGGGGAGCCCCTTTTGCCTGCACCATTGAGAGGGCCTCCCTTTTAGGTCCTGAGTGCCTCAAGACAGGGACCAGACCCCGCTCAAGCATCTTCCCCTTGAAAAGTCTCTGGTCATTAGTAGCTCTAACAATCAAGTCAACATTCTCATCATGAGGCTGGCGTTTGACAAACTGCCGATAAGGCAATCAAAGTCTCGGTACTGGACGCGTTTAGGAATGGTTTTCCATTTTTCCAGTTTACAGGCCCAGGTGATTTACTGATGCAACTCAAGACAAAGGCCTAACCACGATCCAAGAAGGACTGGTAATGTTCAGGTTGTCAAAACACAGGTTCAAATCCTACCCTAGCTCTGTGATTGGGGGGAGGAGGGTTCCATCTTCTCCTATGTTGTATAAATTAAACTGGCATTTATAAAACACTCATCATATGTGAACATGTGACCCCTGTCAGGGTCTGGCATCCCATTTCGGGGGAAAACCCCTATCATATACACTATGCCTCCTAAAACAGGCTCCACTTCCCCAACACTGATACCTGCTTGGAAGAATTGACATCACAATGATGTTAGGTAATCAACCACTAGATGGCACTTCAGTCATCCAAAACAAAACGATGACTGACGATGGCAAGTGATGAACCTGACAGGGAAACAGCTGAACCCGTTTATGATTCTGCTCCTGAACCTTCATGATTATGCGGCCTTCTTGGAAGTAGTTTCGAGGCCCAGTACAGACGTCACTTGATGACGGCACATGACTTGCCGGCTTAACGCTCGTGATGGGCAGCTATCTGTCAGGTATCGCATTACAGGAAAACAGAATGAAACATCTTTCAGGAGAGCTGATAGCTTTGGATAATTGCATCAAGGGTTTTTGTCAAAATGGTCCAACTCAGGAAAAAAAGTCTTTTGGAAACCAAGTTAGACATTTCCATTCAAGAAATAAAATGCAGATAATGTTTATAGAAAAATCTGTAATGATGTTTTTTTTCTATTTCAATAAATAAAAAGGCTGTTTCAATTAATTTATCAAGTCTATAAAATATCATGCAAACTTTTAAAATATAACACTCAAAGATACTGTGTGCCTGAGAACAATATTCACACAAAGAACCATGTCAGCCTTGCAATAAAACAAGGAATGTGTATAATGTACCATCTGCCTACACCAGCTATGGTGGGAGCTTGATTTAAGGCTAAAGGGGATTGATGACGAGTGACATTGCTGGCATTTCTCTCCTCACTAGGGTGCCGGGTAAGTATTTTTGGAAAAAAACAAGTTGTCTGGTTAGCATGAGACTGTTCACTTTGCATCAATGTTGGATCAGTGTTGGATCAATGGTGCATCAATGTTGGATCAGGCTTCACCACAAACATGGGGGCCCTCACTGTAACATCACGTGAGCAATGCCATCACAGCCTGATTACTAAGGGCTTGATCTGCTCTACAAGTCCCTGACCTTAACCACCAGGATACCCAAAGTACAGAGACTTTGGCGGAAACATTGTGGTGGGAGGTGTGTTTCTGAAAGATACTTGAATGTTTACTATGCTTGTAAGTTCGGTTAAGACTGAGCAAGTACCGCTAGGTTTTCTGAGATGGGAAAGGGTTGACTTTACCTAGAATGAAACCGGATATGTAGCTGGAGGTGCGCGCCATTCCCACGAAGAAGTAGAAGGTGCAGTACCACTCCCAGCTGCTAGAGAGCGCCTGAAGCAGGGCAAATGTGTTCAGCAGCACCAGACTGACAAAAAAAACCAGCTTCCGGCCAAACCTGAGGAAGAGAGGAATGTGAGAAGCCCAGGTCACCTAGAGAATCACGTGTGACAGCGGGTGGCCTGCTGGGCAGCAGGGTTGGGGCCGTTCCGGAATGCATTGATCAATTCCAGTCCAAATCAGGAAATGGACCTGGAGTTGGAACTTAAATCTCCCTGAAATTCAAATTCAACTCCAATTCTGTTCCCTGTAGTTTTTTTCCCAATCCCAGCTCCAGTTCCATTTCCTGATTTGGACTGGAATTGATCAATGCATTCCGGAATGGCCCCAACCCTGGTGGGTAGTAGATCTGGTTTAAAGCCCCCTAGGTGAAATTCTCATGATGCCAATCGAGTTACACACCTACCACATTCCACACATTAGGGTGCTCAACAAGATCAAAGATTGGAGAAATCCAAAAATGACTCTTGTCCTATTAACCAGATTTTGGTCTTGCTTCTAGTACCTCCAGCCATTGCAAATTCAACTAAACTTGTGCATTTAACTGGACGTTATCCAAATATACAAAATTTCAGCCAAACTTTGCTGAAAATAAAATGGCCACAGCAACAAAGAGTATTTTTTCGTTTACTTGCAATTTTTTTTTCACAAATAAGGACAAAAACAAAAGTGTAGTTTGTAATCAGCGATCAATAAATTTACACCACGGTGAAATACTCAAGCTGGCTAAAGCCTAGTTTAGTCATCTACTGTCAGTAGTACTCAAACTCTTGGGTCATTCTTCTGATTATTGGCAAAAATGTACTAAACATATTTCTTTTTTTTCAGTTTAGCATCAAGGGTGCTCTCTACCACTGTTCTTAACATTTGGTCAATTTAACTTAAAAAAAAATCAAGAATCATAAAATTGCACCAAATGAAACACCATGTAAAAATACGGAAATATGCAAGATTTAAATTTTGACAGAATTTAAGAACAACTAAAGGTGTTATTTCAAAAAGTTCTTATTGCATGGTTGTTACCTGAATTTTTAAAATAGCGGCATTTTCACGGCCTATTTTTAATTTAAATGAACCAAACATTAAGAAATATAGTTAAAGCAATCTAGAAAATAAAATGAGTACAGAAAAATATGGTAGATGGCACCCTTGATGCTAAACTGCAAAAAAAAATATGATGTTTAACACATTTTTGCTAACAATGAATGCCATGAGAGATTAGTGAGTCTAACTGGCGGTGGATAGATAAACCAGTCAAACTGCTTAAGCAACCTCTGAACATGCTTGAAAAAAAAATGTACAAATCCTGAGATGTTAACGATATTAGGAGTGAGAAGTAGCATTTTCAATTTTTCATTTTTAAGGACCACTCTACTACACACATCACATATGAAATATCACAATCAGAACTCATTTTATTGTCAGTATGCACAAACATACCAGAACTGTTTGTGGTCCGGTGGCAAACATGAAGTATATTAACAATATTACAATACATAAAGATAAGAATTCAAAAAAGATACAGAAGGCGATTATACAAAAGACAGTGCAAGACAATTAAGACAATAATTTAACAGAGTGCAAGAACCATAAATTAAGTATTGCAAGATCAAGAAAAGGTTTGTTGTAGTGCAAGTTGAAATAATATTGGGCATATACAATATCCGACGAGAGGAAGAGGGAATTTTACATGGGTGACGGGATTAACTTAGTAGGGCACATATAAAGGATAACTTATCGGAATATAATTTACTGTATTTCTGGAGCACAAGCAGCGGTGCGCGGTAGAAACCGTGAACGTAAAACTAAAAATGATTAAGACATCAGCAGAGCAACTTGTGCAACTCGTTTAACTCACCTGTCAGAGATCTGCCCGGAGATGAAGGAGCCTGCCATCACACCGAAGAACAAGACGGAGGAGGCGAAAGGCGCCTTCCACGAATCTTCGCACACCAAGCTCCACTGCAGGTTTGCATCAGAGACGTGAGAGACATGAAGAGCGGCCCGACTAAGACAGCACAGCCCCCCGAGACCCCCGTACCTCGGTCACGATGGTGGACTTGTACGTGTCGGCGCTGAACCTCCATCCGTCCAGGCATCCCTCCGTTTCGTTTGCCCAGCCGGCCGCGGACCGATTGAGGTGCTTGTATCGCCTGCACCTGCTGAGCGCCCGGTCCCCGATCGTCCCTTCGTGCGGGATGTAGTCGCTGATGTTCTCGCCGTTTGTGGAGGACACCTCGCAGTGGTGTTGCGGCGTGGCAGCCAGAAAAACCATCGATAAATTCAAGTAACCGTGAGGGATGAAGGTTAAACTCAAGAGAAAGAAGACGCACTTCTGGAAACGCCCCCACTCCCCTAAAAACGACGTGATTCCTTCGTAATTTTCCATTTCGATGTTTAAAAAGTAATGCAGAATAATAGTAATAAAGTAAATGTAAAATAATACTCCAAGAGCTACAATTGTAATACTAAGTTCAGGATGGTGCGGTCGCGCTCAGACTCGCTGAGAAGTCCTGTAAAATCCCAAGACGCGCACCATCTTCATCGCCACAACCATCATCATCCTCATGCTCATGCTCAAACCGCCTCACTGACCCTTCATCCGGTAAGATCTGCAGGGGAGTCCTGCTTGGAGCGACTTTTAAGGACCATGACGGGTGGAGTCAGCCACAGGGGCGTGTTAACAGCTGTTATGCCAAAAAGTGACGGTCTGCCAGAAACTGATTACGATTCGCTGGAGCGCGCACAGCTTGTTCAGGACGCATCGCAGTTTTTGTGCGACTAAGGCGGGTAATTTCCATATCAAATCGTCTTAAAGTGCAAAAAGTATACAGTACATGTATCCCCGAGCTAATAGCGAAGGTATGTCTTTGTCAG